TGTTAACAATAGAGCCTGACCAGGTTTTGACACCATTACTGATATTAAAGTTTATCTTATCTTATATTTGGCGACTTAAAAATCTCCTATCAGCTGATGGTTTTTTCCCGTTTTAGACACATGAAATAAAACATTTATCAAGCTGGTAACAGTATTTATTTGAGCATCAGTGTGAATCCCAAAGCAAAAGAACACGTTTGGAGTCCCCAGCCTTAGCTGAGACCACCGTTTCATGCTCTGCCACCTTACAGTTAACCTAAATGAACATTAGTCCGCGCAAATCCTGCTTTTCCTGGGAATATTATTTGTGTCAGTGGTTGATGCTTTTATTATAGAGATACTCTGCAAATGTGACTTTTATAACAGCCAGTGCATAGCTGCCGTTTCACACTGTGTATTTTGTGCTTGTTGTTAGATCATTGTTGGAATAAGGTATGCTACAGAGTGAACATCTCAGGCGCAGTGCTGTCTTCGACAGTAAAGTATAGTGTCGAGAAAGACGCCCATATTGCAGCATTCCCAAGGGATCCTCTATATTTATCATCCCCAAGGATTCTCAGACTATTCTCACACTTCCAATTTTAAACTATAAACTCTGTTATTTTAGTTTTTTTACAAAACTGAAACAATTTGAAATAAATGTAGGAACATATTTGTGACAAGTATTAAATCATAAGATTAATGGTTCTGTGGGAGCATCTGTGCTCACTAGTTTTCTTTACAGTGTTAAATCCAATAACTTTGTGCTACCTGCAAGCTTATCTGAAACAAACATAAGGACGCTTGTTAATGTTTGTACTTCTACAAAGAATCTAAAACTGAGTGTAAAGCTACACAGAAGAGCACATTAATCAAGCACCAGCCAGAGACACCAGAGTCTCCTTTTTTTCTTGATTTGCTGACTCACAGGATTAACACGACATGACAAGAGTTAAGTAAATACGTCACAGAGAGTTAATAAATCATAATACAAGCTACAGTCTAAGCACTCTTAGATCAACAATTTCAGTCTAAATATGCATATATGCAATTATTCAGGCATACGCTGAAGCAGATGTAACAGCAATTTATTTCTCCCTAAATGGCACCGCGTCTCCTCCAAGTCAACCACTCGGTGAGAATAAGAGTCGCCTGTTCAAACTTGCAGTATCTTATCCATACCCACCACATGCTGCAGCCCTCAATACAACTCTGTTTGGAACAATGTAAAAACATGAAGTGGGAGACTTTTTCCTTTTTCTTTTTCTTTTTTAACCCCTTTTTATAGATCAAATTTTAGATGCATAAGAGAGAAGGCCATATGAGTGAGTGAGCTGAATGAAATTAGATTCCTCATAGTTGAAACAGTGCGAAATGGCAGCAAGGACAGCCCCATTATTCAGTCTGTTTTATTACAAGTGATGACATTCTCCATTTTCTGAAGCCCTATTAACTAAGCACTTATGGAGAAATAGGCAGTATATGTTAATATTCATCAGTCTCTGCTGCGGTTCTTACAGCAACATTCAAATCTCACTGAAACCTCGACAACAAACAAAGAAAACGTCTTCGGTGGCCTTCACTTATCACGAGCCTTCATATATTATTAATAACACATTCTGTTATGATACTGCTAGTACTGTGTTACTAAAATACATTTTAATTAAGCGTTAAAAACTAATTGTTGATGAATAAACTCTGGGCAACAGTGATAAAATCATTAATACATCACTTCTGACAGTGTGACAGTTATCTGATGACCCCTCAGTGAGACTAGCTTGCCACTGCAGCATAGTGAACTACCATTAGCTTCACAGCTATTAATGCTGGTACTAATATAGTAGGCAAATCTGCATTAAAAACAATTTGCTTTAAAGGGTTAATCTATTCTACATATGTTTATTAACACATGCAATGAAAATACCCACATAAAGTCTAGTAGAAATGTACTAAATAGGCTAAAACAGATACTTTTTATACTGACTGCTACAACAGGTCCCGGCAGGAAATTATAGCTCGTTTTTAAATGGTATAAGTACACATTTGTGACTCTTGTGTTAAAAAAAAGTGACATAAAACAAGTCCTTACAAAGAACACAATAACCTATAATGGCTTTATTTTGCCTGCGACTAATAAAGATGGTGAAGTTCCATTTCAACACCTACATTTACATACTTATGTTTTACCAGAGAGGGAAAATGAACTAATCTCAAAGTGTTTTTGTATCTAACACCAGCTGCAATTTCAGTGTCTGATTAATGGGACAAAACAGGATGAAACGTGTGCTTCTTTAACCATCACACTGTCTAAGAATATCATTATGCTGTGGGTCCACTGTCAGACCAGACAGCTTGTCAGCGTACTCTCCCTGTGGCGCTGACTCACTGCAGACTATCATCCTGTCCTCAGGGTATGCTTGCTACAGCCACAGTTAACACGAGATAAGCTTCTTGCCCAGAGGCCATCTGGGCTAATGGAAGGCTTAAATACCTGGAGCGCTGAACTGCCGCACGGAGGTAGCCCTGGTCTTGTCATAGACGTGGCTGAGCCCGCAACCCTTCGGTACACTCCAGGTCGCGGCGTTGGCTCGGCTGTCCCTCTCCTCGGCTGTGTCATAGACATCAACGTGGGGAGCGCGCTCGGTCAGGTTTTTGCTGTAATGGCTCAAACCGTACTGGGAAATCTGGATGGCGTAAAAGTAGCCCTGAGGGCCCCACTGAGTGGACAGAGGCACGCCTGGGTGGAAAGAAAGGAGGAAGAAAAGGAGGATATTAATGTTAAATAAATACTGGAAATAGCCTGATATGCAAGAAGTGCAGTCGCTTTAAAACTGGCTGGAACTTTTATGAAGCACAGCGATGGTTCTTAATCTTGGCTGACATGATAAGCTGGGTTTTCTTTTAAGCTCTTTGCAGTTTATTTCAAGCAGATGTTCTTTTTAAGATGGCACTTGTCATAACATTGCCTTACTTTTTTTTTTTTTTACTTTGTTGAAGAATGACTAAATCTGTTAAGTGCAGCATGACACCGAGTCCATAACCACAGTATAAAAAGAAACTGGTCCAAATTTAAATATTAATACAAACACTATAAATTTTAGAACTTCTCATCTCCTGGAGACTAGAGGCCGACTAGGGCAATAAAAAAAATACTCCTTTAGTAAAACAAAAACAAAACAAAACAAAAATTGTTTAAGAGAAGAAGAAAAGGGTTAGAAAATAAATGCCACCAGCTACAATAAATGATTAGACGGTGTGGTGAAATTCAACCTAATCTATTGCATTTCACTGGAGGCGAGCTTCCATGTTCATGCAGCCAAAAATAGCTCAGCCAGGAGAATCACTCTGATTAACAGATAGCTCATTTTAAGACCTTGTGACAGGGAATGCACACGTGCTACCCAAACCCCATCCTTCTAAGAAGAATGTAATAAACTCAGATTAGGGCTGACAATACGCCGCCTCCTTCTAAACTAATCACCACCGCATACATAGCAAGTCCATTTTAGTATCTGCTCTTGTACAGTGTAGAAGTCCAGCTGCCCGACACAAACTCAGGAAGGAAGCTCAATCTTTTTATGACTGAAATGACTTTTTAGGACCCTGTGCACATAAAACTCAGCTCACAAATAAGAAGGAAAAAAAAAGAGCAGGCAATTTCAACAGCAGTTAAAAAGACAATGGAAGATTATTCACGCACATAGAAAGGAAAGAATCCATTTGCACACATACAGGCACACTCTGGTCAAAGTAGGATCATGCAGCAGTCTTTCAGTTCTTACCCCCATTAAATATACAAAGAAACTCTAATTATTCTCCTTTTATTCAACACACAATTCTGCCTTTTACTTGGCAGCAAGGAGATTTATCGAAACCTCTCCTCCTCGATTGATCCTCCGCACAGGGCGCCCAAACACTGCACCAGGAGTTAATGCAGCAACAAGGACTTATTGATGTTCTATTCAAAAACACAGGTATTAGTAACCAACGGCTGCCCATCCATTACGAAGCACACTCGCAGGGGTCTGACCACATGTTCTGTTTACAGTCTACTTCTGCACGGAGAAAACTTGACACAAATAGCTCTTAAGAGATTAATAGCTTACATTTCATGGGCTGCATGTGCGTAAGTGTGAAGAATTATTTCAGAGAGAATTCTTCTTCTTAACTGCAGACTGGCAGTCACACTGACAGGCAGAAAATGTGGCACAATTTTCAGCTGCTCCCCGCAGTGTTTCCAGCGCAGCCTAGCCGCACACATTCACTCCGATCCACAGAGGATTTTCCACGTGCCTGCACTCATGGTTTCCCTTTCAAAAGTCAACGTGACATAGAAGTGGCCATCAATAAGTTGTGTGAGCAGTCCGTCCTTGCTGCAGCAGGTCAAGCAGAGCTAAAGCTCTGCCGCCAACACCCCCACCCATACCACTCAATTACGTGCTTTGAACCCTGTGAGGCATGCTTAAATTAACAGTTATGCTTTATAACAGCTTTATCACGATGCACTTCATTTTTCTTGTGTTAAAAAGTTCACGCATTAGTGGGTCGCAACATGCACGACTAAAATATTTTTAATAGCTAACATTAATCGGGGGCACACGGCTTCAATAAATACGTGCCATCTGACTGCTCCAATTATCCTCCTTCTCTTAATTTTGGATGGAAGTAAAAACAAGTTAGGAGGCTCTGAACAAGTTCATGTGGTGTCTTTGACCCAACGATGCTCTGAACTCTGTTAATAACCTGTCAGGAACTTATTTTAATGTTTAGATTTCAAGAGACAAACACAAAGGATGCAGCGATGCCCCAAGAACTGATATTTCCCTATACTGTCCATAAATAAGAGCCCAGAAAGACAGCTTGCACGCATTTATACATTCCCACACACACTTCCATGCCTTAACTCCCTGCCTGGCTTGTTACTGGCATCTCCCCTGACAACTTAAGGAAAATGACTGTCAAAATCCTAACGCTGTGCTACCCACTGCATAACACCAAGTAATCCATATGGAAATGACTGTTAAGCCTCCATATATTTTGCTGACTCCAAAGAGCAGACTTTTCTAGAAAAAGATTGGTCTGTAAATTCCAGTAGGCTCTGAGGCTCGACGCCTACTGGAATTTACACGGAGAGGAAAACTGATACAAAATGTTTTCGTGATTTTTTTTCCCTCTCATTTAAAAAACCAAACAAAAGCTTTGTTTTTGACCTCTACCAGGTCAGGAATATGTAAGCTCCACTGAGCATTTCTTTAATATTAAACAGTGAACCACCGCCGGTAATTTGTAACTTGCTGTTGTGCTGAACTTAGAGGGATTTCAAGCACTTTTGCAGATTTTAGCTTTGTCTAAATGAAATATTTTTTTTTATAAAACACCTCAGAATAACTCACTGTCAAGACAGCCAAAGTACATTGATGGAGAACATTCAGCATGTAGGAGCTAAAGGTAAAGATGTTTTCCTCAGGAGTTGGTGGTTGCCAAAAGCGGAGCTAAAGAAAATAAATATATCTGAATATTCAAGTGCCTTCTTTGCCAGTTTGTCAAAAATATGATGCCAGTGGGATTTTCATGTTGCTCCTTTTCTGCTGGGAGCTTAAATAAAGCAGAAAACAGTTACTAACAACTTAATAAATGAATGATATATTAAGGTTGTGTTTCTGTGAGGTTTTGTTGCAATTCTACTGTATGATAACGAAAAAAGGCTTAATGCAGCTTTAACTTTTGCATCATGGCTGTGTATTTGAGCTGAATACATCAAGAAGCACTTAAGGGAAATGATTTTCTGTTTATTCACATGGACATTACAATTTCTGCAAGTGTGTATTAGAACCTGCTCTAAATGCAGCATATGCTGCAGGTGGAAGGCTGGTGGATAATTACACAGATCAAAAGAATGACTCTAAACTGTATTTTGATTTAATTTGTCAGGACACAGATCAAATTGTTCAGTCTACTTGACTGAATTAGATTGTGGCTTTTGTGGAGTAACTGCCTGATACATTACACTGGTTTGCACCAATGTCCTAGATTCTTTTCAGAGAAAATTCATCCAAGTAGTAGAAGTATCTATTAGTGAGTGTGCGCAGGTGCTAGGTAAAACAGATCACCTGTCACGTACGTATGGGCACAGTGTGTAAGTAATAAAATGGCTGTTTGAAAAGGGCATAAAACGTTTAGGAATGAATATATATATTATTTTTTTATTTTTTTTTTTAAGGGCTCTTTTCTTGTGCATATATTGGAGTGACGTTGGTCTGCACCAAAACAATCAACATAGGAGAGGATAGTGGAAGGTGGAAAAAACATACCAGACAAAAATTAGACAAAACGTGATTTAAGGTTGTGTTACTGCAGAGTATTATAACTACAGTGGTGTGAAAAATTTTTGCCCCCGTCCTGATTTCCAAGTATATTGAATATTTGCCACACTGAGGGTGGCTGTAGCTTAGGTGGCAGAGCAGGTCAGCCACTAATCAGAAGGTCGGTGGTTCGATCCCAGGCTGCCTCCTGGCTGCATGCCAAATATCCTTGTCAGTGCGCCCCAGGGCAGCTGTGGCTACAATGTAGCTTGCCATCGCCAGTGTGTGAATGTGAGTGTGAATGGGTGAATGACTGAATGTAGTGTAAAGCGCTTTGGGGTCCTTAAGGACTAGAAAAGCGCTATACAAATGCAGGCCATTTACCATTTACATGTTTGAGATGATCAAACAAATTTTAATATTAGACATCGATGACAAGAGTAAATACATATTGCAGTTTTTAAATGAAGATTTCACTGATTAAGGGAGAAAAGTTATCCAAACCTATCTGGTCTTGTTTGAAAAAGTAATCCCCCCTCTTGTTAAATCATGAATTAACTCTAATTACCCACATTTTTTGGAAAGCTGAGTTTAGTTTCACTAAAGACACTCAAACCTGATTAGTGAAAGACCTGCTGAATCAAGAAATCACTTAAACAGAACCTGTCTGACAAAGTGAAGATGGCTAAAAGATCGCAGAAAGCAGCACATCATGCCACGATCTAAAGAAACACCTGGGAAACAAAGTCACTGACATCTACCAGTTTGGAAAGGGTTACAAAGTCATTTCTAAGGTTTTGGGACTTCAGTGAACCATGGTGAGAGCCGTTATACACAAATGGAGAAAATCTGAAACAGTGGTGAAACGTCCTAGGAGTGAACAGCCAACCAAAATTACTCAAAGAGGACAATGACAACTCATCCAGGAGGTCACAAAAGACCCCAGAACATCATTAAAGAACCACAGGCTTTCAAATGTCTCAGTTAAGGTCAAAGTTCATGAATCAACAATAAGAAAGAGATTAGGAAAAAGGGCATCCATGGGAGAGTTCAAGGAGAAAAGCACTGCTGACCAAAAAGAACACAAAGACTCATCTCACATTTGCTGCCCCCCCCCCCAAAAAAAAAAAAAGAATTCTTGACGATCCCTGAGAGATCTGGGAAAATACTCTGTGGACTGATGTGACAAAAGCTAATATTGTGATAAGATATTGTGGTGGTGGTAGTCTGGGCCTGTTTTGCTGCCTCAGGACTAGGGCTGTTCGATATAACGATATATATCGGATGACGATATAAAAACATCTATCGTTTCATTTTACACTATCATTTGTTTTGTCATGTTGCAAAATAAACTTTTTACGGCAATATGTTTTTCATTGTTTTGATGGTCACTGTAGTGGCTATATTAACTTCTTAAAGTTCTCTCTTTCTCTTA